GGGGTGTGTGTGGGTGTGTGTGTGCAGGCCCAAAATCCCAAGAAGAGAATGGAGAAGAAGGGATTGCAGGTTGGTCATTGCCCCCAGGGGTGATTTCTCAATTTCCTTTTCTCTCTCTCTCTCTCTCCCCCTCCCTCTCCCCCCCCCATCTCTCTCCAGTGAGCACATGCACCCTATGGCAAAAACCTTTAAAAAAAACCCAAAAACCTACTAATTATTGATCACCTGCTCTATGCCAGACACTGCACCAAGTGGCTGACATGTCCTATGAAGCAGGCATTGCTAGTCCCATTTGCAGTAAGAAAGCTATAAAACAAAGACCAAACAAACAGAAAATGACTTGTCCAAGAGCCAGAACTCTAAGATCAAAGTTCAAGTTCACTTCATTCCATTGCCTCTTTTATAAAGCCCGCAGAACTGTTGAGAAGTCCAGAAAATCTGGGCCGCCAGCCTCCCTGTTGGCTCTCGACACCCCTACTCACCAATGGCGCCCAGAGTGACAAGTGGGTTCTGCCGAGGGCTGATGTGCTTGTTGTAGGGGCGGTTTCCATACATGTGGGCGGCGCTATTGACCAGCCAGGTGACGTTGAGTGAGATGGTATAGCGGAGGATGGAGGCCAAGAAGTAGGAGTTCCACAGACTCTCTCCCCAGATGTACCAGGGCACCAGCGTGGGCACTGCAAAGCACATGAGCACCACGGTGATCTTGTAGTACCTGGAAGGCAGGACATCAGGTCATCATTACGCACCTGTCCATGGAGGTGCAGGTGGGCTGAGCCGGCACAGGGCCAGTCAGACCCATGCCCAAGGAGGGAAATGTGCCCATCAGTGCTTCATCTTTGCCTATATAAGAACCCTGGAGGGGCCAGCAGGTGGCATGGTGGTTAGGGGTGCTGGGGTCCCACATGGTTGACCGTGGTTTGAGTCCTGGACCTGGCAGCTTGCTTTCTCACTTCCCCTCTCTCTTTCTTTCTCTTTCATTCTCACTCTGTCCCTCTCTGTCAAATAAAAATAAATAAATAAATGAATAAGGTAAAATAAAATAATTCTTTAAAAAAAAAAAAAAAGAACCCTAAAGCCAGCAGGTGTGGTTAAGGCTCTGGATTCTCTCTCCCCCTCCCTCTCCCCCCCCCATCTCTCTCCAGTGAGCACATGCACCCTATGGCAAAAACCTTTAAAAAAAACCCAAAAACCTACTAATTATTGATCACCTGCTCTATGCCAGACACTGCACCAAGTGGCTGACATGTCCTATGAAGCAGGCATTGCTAGTCCCATTTGCAGTAAGAAAGCTATAAAACAAAGACCAAACAAACAGAAAATGACTTGTCCAAGAGCCAGAACTCTAAGATCAAAGTTCAAGTTCACTTCATTCCATTGCCTCTTTTATAAAGCCCGCAGAACTGTTGAGAAGTCCAGAAAATCTGGGCCGCCAGCCTCCCTGTTGGCTCTCGACACCCCTACTCACCAATGGCGCCCAGAGTGACAAGTGGGTTCTGCCGAGGGCTGATGTGCTTGTTGTAGGGGCGGTTTCCATACATGTGGGCGGCGCTATTGACCAGCCAGGTGACGTTGAGTGAGATGGTATAGCGGAGGATGGAGGCCAAGAAGTAGGAGTTCCACAGACTCTCTCCCCAGATGTACCAGGGCACCAGCGTGGGCACTGCAAAGCACATGAGCACCACGGTGATCTTGTAGTACCTGGAAGGCAGGACATCAGGTCATCATTACGCACCTGTCCATGGAGGTGCAGGTGGGCTGAGCCGGCACAGGGCCAGTCAGACCCATGCCCAAGGAGGGAAATGTGCCCATCAGTGCTTCATCTTTGCCTATATAAGAACCCTGGAGGGGCCAGCAGGTGGCATGGTGGTTAGGGGTGCTGGGGTCCCACATGGTTGACCGTGGTTTGAGTCCTGGACCTGGCAGCTTGCTTTCTCACTTCCCCTCTCTCTTTCTTTCTCTTTCATTCTCACTCTGTCCCTCTCTGTCAAATAAAAATAAATAAATAAATGAATAAGGTAAAATAAAATAATTCTTTAAAAAAAAAAAAAAAGAACCCTAAAGCCAGCAGGTGTGGTTAAGGCTCTGGATTCCAATATGGACAACCAGGGTTCGAGTTCTGGACCTGGCATCTTGAAACTCACACCAGATGCATGTGCATGCATGCCCAAAATCCCAACAGGAGAATGGAAAAGGGATTGTGGTGTGGTCATCCCCCCTGGGGGTAATTTCTTACTTTCCTTCTCTCAGACCCTCTCCAGCAAGCATACATGCACTGTGGTCAAAACCTTAAAAAAGAAGAATCTTGCCGTGTACCACTCTCCATGTAGAAGTCACAAACCCATAGTCTAGAAGGGCTAGGCACAAAGTTGAGAGCCGAAACAGGTAGAATGCTATAGGAAATGGGGATGCTGAGGATCCTTCAGAAGAATTTCAAAATAATCAATCCCGTGCTGGTCAAACCAGGTATCCGAGGGCTATGGTTATCCTGCACACCATCAGCCCGAGATAGCTCCTAGACAGTTCTTTCATCAATCAACCTAATAGTCAAGTTTTCTTGAATAAGTCAAGAACTATTCCGTATTCCTTGAATACTTTTAGGGATATGTAAAAAAGCAGATGACCAGTCCCCCACCCATGCACACACTAAAAGAATGGTTTCTGTTTGTTTGGGACTATATTCAAACCAGCATAAAAATATATGTGTAGAAGACATGGCTGCATAAAAGGTAGTCAATGAAAATCAAACCACTGATAGTCTGCTTTCTAGACTAGCATATCCAGCAACCATTTACTGAGTACCTACTATGTGCCAGGCCCTGAGTGTTACTAATATATCAGCCAAGTGCTGCTGATTCAAAGACAAGTTAGACACAGTCCTGTCCTAGGCTTCAGCCAAGTGAAACTACTGTTGACCACTCTCTGGCCAAGCTGGGCTGCCTCTATGCAGGAGCAGAAGAAGGGCTGTGAAAGAAAGTGTCTGAAGCTACCCGGGCAAAGCTGTTTCCTCTTCCACACCAAACTGGCTAATCAAGCTTGCAGAAGACCCCTGTTAAGATGCATATGTATCAGGGCCAGCAGGTGGTGTGGAGGTTAAGGCGGCTGGATCCTCTATGGCTGACTGCATGGTCAAGTCACAGACGCAGAGGCTTGAAAAACACTCTGGGTGCATGGTTCAAAATCCCAAGAGGAAAATGAAGAAGGGACTGTGGCATGGCCATCCCCCCACCCCCAGAAGATGATTGCTTACTTTCTCTGTTTCTTCCCGTCTCTCTCCAGCAAGAGCAGATGCCCTGTAACAAAAACTTAGAGAGAGAGAGAGAGAAAGAAAGAGAGGAAGAAAGAAAGAAAAGAAAGAAAGGAAGGAAGGAAGGAAGATGTACCAACTTGGGGGTAGCAGTGGCACAGTGTAAGGGCATGGAATTTGGCGGGAGAGGACTTGGACTTGGGTCAAGCTCTGATTCCCTTTTATTCTTTCAAACTCCTTTCCTTTGCACCAATAGATAGTCTCACAAAAAGGAGATCATGAGGTAAGGGCTCACGTAAGGGTAGGTTACTTTGGAAAATGAGCTCAATTAACAGGTGTGGGCAAAAGGGAAAAGTGGGACAGGGAAGAAGAGAAGCCCACCCAGTACATGTTGCTGGAATGGCCACTGCTGCAAACAACTGAACTTGGACCTTGATGGGACAGACTATACCTCCAATTTATCCTCTCAGGGAATGAAAAAAAAAAGGTGAGGGGAAGAATGGTGGGCCCGGTCTGGAGGGACTTAGAGGAGTTCCAGGTGAGGGCTTAGTTAGGGGTGGAGAACAATAGTCAAATTCTGGACTTTCCTTTTACTATAGGGCATTTGTGTTTGCGAGAGAGGAGAGAAACAGAGAGAGAGAGAGTGAGAAATCACTCCCCCCAATGCCACAATCCCCTCTCTTCCCTTCTCCTCTCGGGATTATGGGCCCGCATGCATAAACGAACAGTGTTATTTGAACTGCAGTCGGTCATGTGGGAATCCAGTGCCTTAACTGCCATACCACCTGCTGGCCCCTTTGGATTTGTTTTGACAGAAGAGTGACAGGACTTGTGAACACACTCAACAATGGAGAGAGAGAGCAGAGCCAAGGGTGATGCCAAGGATGGAGATGCCATTAGCTGATCGGGCAGAATGGAGCTGGGGGGACGTGACGAGTTTGGCCGTAGACACAGCAAGTGGGAGAGGCTCACTCTGCATTCAAATGGGGATATGTCAAGCACAGGTCTAGGGCTGAGATGCTCTAGAGAGAGAAGGTGATGGGAATACAAACGTGGAACGCCTCGGCATATTAATGAATGACACTCATGTTCAGCTTCTCTTTTGAGTTTCACAAAAGCCTTACTAGGTTGTTTTTTGTTTTGTTTTGGGAGAGGTTTTTGCTATAGGGTGTGTGTGCTCGCCAGAGAGACAGAGAGAGACAGTGAGACAGAAAGCGAGAAATCACCCCCCCAGGGGGGATGGACATGCCGCAATCCCTTCTCCTCCATTCTCCTCTCGGGATCTTGGGCACACACACATGAGCCCAGCATCAGTTTGAGCCACTGGGTCCAGGACTCAAACAATGGTTGGCGACATAGCCATTACACCAACTTCTAGTCCCCTAGGTTGTTTTTATAACCTTTCCTCTGCAGGAACTCTGCAAAGTCCAGAGAGGCTGTGGGACTTCTCCCCAGCCACACGGGTTGTACAGTACACAGGCAGGTTTTCTGAGTCAGGTTTCACCCCGATGGTCTAACACCTCTAAACATAACCCGCTGCCCCTCAGGAGCCAAGAACAGATTACAGGGCAGAGGTTAACTTCAGTTTCACCTGAAGGTCAGAACTAGATACTCTAACCTTCTTCCCATTCCTCGAGAGTACCATGTCGTCTCTGTTGCCTGGGTCTACAACACTTCCCCAGCCTGGCTGACGTCACTCTCCTAAGTGTGAATATAAACATCACTTCCTCTCAGGGGACTTCCTTGTCCCCTTGGACCAGGAAAGGTTCCCTGTACAGGTGTTCCTGCAGTACATTGTCTTCTGGTCACCAAGTCCTCACACTGGCTGGCTTAACCGGTAGTCTCACCTGCTAGAGCAACGCTCGCAATCCTGACTGCTCCTTAGAATCAACTGGGAACATGTGAAAATGAATGTCGGGAACCCTCTGCAGACCAACTGGATGAGGATCTCTGATCTGGGCACTGCTATGTAGGAAGCCTCCCCACAGCGCGGCAGGAGTAAGGGGAACGGGGGTGGCAGGGGAAGAGAGAGAAGCATGTAACAGACACAAAAGCGAGAAGTTATCTGTTGATGATAATGTATATGGAAATATCTTTCACTTGACAGATACGCACTGTATTCATGCTGGGGAAAACAATGTTGTATGCTGTAAAGATGTACAGTGATTGCTTATGGGACCAGCAGATGGTGTAGTGGTTATGTCATTGAACTCCCATGTAGTTGACCGTGGTTCGAGTTCCAGACCTGGTGGCTTCAAACTCACTGGGCACCTGTATGTGCATGCCCAAGATCCTGAGAGGAGAATGGAGGAGAAGGGATTGTGGCCTGGGGGGCTGGGGTGGGGGTGATTTCTCGCTTTCTGTCTCTCTGGTGAGTGCATGTGCCACATAGCAAAAAATATCTCTCTCTCTCTCAAAACAAAAAAGATGAACAATAGTAATTTTTCACTTACTATTCCTTTTTTTAAATTTGGACAGGTTTTTGCTATAGGGCACATGCGCTTGCCAGAAAGACAGAGAGAGACAGAGAGACAGAAAGCGAGAAATCACCCCCCAGGAGGGATAGCCACGCCACAATCCCTTCTCCTCCATTCTCCTCTCAGGATCTTGGGCACACACACACATACACCCAGCATGAGTTTAAGCCACCGGGTCTGGGACTTGAACCATGGTCAACTACATGGGAGTCCAGCTGTCCTCTCTGCTGCTGGGTCCTTCAGGGAATGCAGACCGTACCCAGTATTGATGGGTTTCAGGTCATTGTGGTGGTCTTGCTCACTTTGCTCATAATTAATTTAGGAATAGGCATGTGACGTAATAATGGCCAATAAGATAAAAGAGAAAGGATGGTTATCATGGAAAAAAGGAAAATGACCAATGTGGGTGAGTGTGTAGACAAACTGCAAACGTCATGCATTGCTGGTGGGAATGTAAAACGGTGCAGCTGCAGCAGAGTAGTCTGGTGGTTTCTCAGGAGATTAAATATTGAGTTATTGTATGACTCAGCAATTTCATTCCTAGTATACATCCGAAAGAATGGAAAGTAGGGGCCTGAACAAATATTTATACAGCTGTATTCTTAACAGCATGATTCATATTAGCAAGAGGTGGTCACTCAAGTGACCATCAATAGAAGAATAAACAAGGACTTGTATATACATATAATAGAATGTGATTCAGTCATTAAAAGGAATTACATTTTGATATATGTTGTAACACGGACAGACCTTGAAAACAGCGTGATTAGTAAAATATACCAGATACAGGGCAAACACTGTAAAATCCCATTTTTATGGTATATTGAAATAGTCAAACTCGTAGAGTCAGAAAGAATAGACGTTACTATGAGCAAGAAGGGGGTAAATTATTGTTTAATGTGTACAGAGAATGCTGAAAATTTTTTGCTTTTAGTGGTGATGGTTATGCAATCTTGTACATACATGTAGTGTCACAAAATCATGTACTTATGAATGGTTAAAGTAATATGTAGGGGAGGAACCAGCAGTTAGCGTAATGGCTATGCCGCTGGACTCCCATGTAGTCGACCGCGGTTCGCGTCCCAGACCCAGTGGCTTAAAACTCACGCCGGGTGCGTGTGCGTGCGTGCCCAAGATCCCAAGAGGAGAATGAAGGAGAAGGAATTGCAGCGTGGCCATCACCCCTGGGGGGTGATTTCTCGCTTTCTGTCTCTGTCTCTGTCTGTCTGGCGAGCACATGCGCCCTATGGCAAAAACCTCTCTCAAAAAGTAAAATAATAAAATAAAATAATATATAGGGGGGCCAGCAGGTGGTATGGTGGTTAAGGGCACTGGACCCCCACATAACTGACAGCTGCTGGAGTTCTGGACCTAGTGGTTTGCTTCCTTGCTTTCCGTCTCTCACTCTGTCCCTCTCTGGTCAAATTAAAATAAATAAATAAAGTTAAATAAAATAATTCTTGAAAAATACATTAAATAATGTTTTAAAAATGATACATAGGATGTTATGTATATTTTGCCACAAAAAAGAAAGATGTAAGGAAATGTTTTCCTTAACAGTAGAAAGAGCACAGGAGCACAGACGGCTTCTGCTTTCCACAGAGATCCCCGTCCTGCTAGGGCCACCTGTGGCTGTGACAGGAAGTAGCCTGAGAACAAGGCTGACCCTTAGGCTGACAGAGCAGGCAGACGGAAAGGCCCTCCAGTTTGCCAGGGGCCACTACACTATCTAGCTCTGGAGCTGTTTTAGCCCTGATGTTTTGGGATGCAAAGAATTTTCCATGGTTCAAGCCAGTTGAGTCGAGATTTTCTGTAGAGTCACTGAACGTTCTCTTTCGTGGACACTGTGATGTGCCACCCAGATCCCCTTTCAGGATTAAAGGACTTATTCTGCCAGCGGCTGGCAGTGCTGCCCTGGTAGAGACAGAGTCGATGAGTCCACCTGCTGCGTACGCCTCGTCTCTGTGCGGCTGGCTGATGTCTCAACTGAGCCTGATCAAAGCTGGATGCCCAGCTTCTGCCCCTGTCCAATCCTGCTTCTGTCCTTCCACAGGTCTTGATCCCAAGGATGTACCCCGCCCCCTAAGCTTCCTGCAATGTAACACCCATCTCAGAGCTGGTTTCTGGGGTAACCAGACGGGTGACATGGCTACACTGCAGGGCCGGCTGAGTCCAGCAGAAAGCTCGACTCTGCAGAATTTAGCAGAGACTCCCATGGGCAAGCACAGTTAAATATTTGTAGAATGACATAAATAAATATATGCTGGTTAGTACGTGATTAGTACGTGATGAGTTCTTGGCTTCTTGGGAAGGTAAAAACACTAGAGTGACTTCAGTAAAATGTGTAAGAAATAAAAGGTCCGGGGTTTGAATGTACTGCTTTTGGGTTCTTCAGTCAATGCTTAGCTCTTGGGTCGGTGCCAATACCAGATGGTACTCCGAAAGTCAGCGACTTAACTAAAGCCCTTATTGCTCATCAGGACACAACCTCCAGCCAGCAACAGCTTTCACTCTGAGGCTTCCTACCTCTGGTTTAAACGAACTATTTCTGGACTAGCAGATGGAATGGCGGTTGTGTCACTGGACTCCCACATGGCTGACTGTGGTTCGAGTCCTGGACCCGGTGGCTTCAAACTCAGGCCGGGCATGTGTGCATGCATGCCCAAGATCCCAGGTGGAAAACAGAGGAGAGGGGACTGTGGTGTCACCATCCCTCCCTCCCTTGTGTGTGTGGGTGATTTCTTGCTTTCTATGTCTCTGGTGAGAACACATGCCCTATAAGAAATACCTCTCTTAAAAAAAAAAAAAAAATTTTGAGCATAATTTTCTAGATTCTCCAAGCTGTCAAAAATGGTAAAAATTTGGGAACCAGCAGTTAGCGTAATGGCTATGTCACTGGACTCCCAAGTAGTCGACCATGGTTCGAGTCCCAGACCCGGTGGCTTAAACTCATGCTAGGCACATGTGTGTGCATGCCCAAGATCCTGAGAGGAGAGTGGAGGGGAAGTGGTTGCATCATGTCCATCCCCCTGGGGGTTGATTTCTCGCTTTCTGTCTCTCTGTCTTTCTGGTGAGTGCACGTGCCCTATAGCAAAAACCTCTCCAAAAAAGAAAAAAAAAAGTAAAATTTTGACAATATTTAAGATTAATAGCCATCTAAGAAGTTTGGTTTTGATTCAGAATGTGACTGACCTCCTCTCTCTTTCTATGAACTTTCAGACCCTGGAATAGAACAAGACTCCTCAGATCATGAAAGAAGTAAAAGAAAGAGGTTGGGGCTAGAGAAAAGGGGTGGTAGGAACCCAAGAGTGCCTGAGGAACACAGTGGCTATGCTCTACAGATTCAAAACTAGAGACCCACATGTTTCAGCCAAAAACACAAAGCTAAAGCACTCAAACTCACTTTATGGGTAATTCTAGAACAGCTTTCTATAGCATAAAGGTGACAGATGTTGGAAGCCCTACCAAACACAGTTCCTCATCACACTAATTCCACAATCAAAAAGATGGTTTTCGGCATTTACTTCAGGGCAAGGAGTCCATTTTCACACCATCAAACGCCATCACCCACAAGAAAGCCCAACCCAGGTCAGCTTTCACTAAAGAACACAGCTACACACACCAGTCTCACCTTTTTATTTTTTGGAGAGGTTTTCGCTTCGCTATAGGGCACGTGCGCTCGCCAGACAGACAGAGAGAGACAGAGACAGAGAGACAGAAAGCGAGAAATCACCCCCAGGGGGGATGGTCACACCGCAATCCCTTCTCCTCCGTTCTCCACTCGGGATCTTGGGCACGCACCCACATGCGTCCAGCGTGTTTTAAGCCACCGGGTCTGGGATGCGAACCGCGGTTGACTATGCGGGAGTCCAGCGACATAGCCATTACGCTAACTGCTGGTTCCCCAGCCTCACCTCTTTTGAAGAATAGCCTCCTTTCAATACACTGGGTCGCGATGAAGAGAATTGAAGCATTATGAACACCCTTGAGACTAAAAAAATGGAGAAAAAAGGATTTACGACTTCTTCCCCCCCCAATCTAAGTGTGATATACATCTCAATACTCTCTTTTTTCTTTGGATGCAAAAGAAGTTGCTGTTCTGTCTGCAGGCATGTCCCCACTGCTCTGCCAACCCTGAGCACAGCAGTCCAGAGCTGTTGGTGTGTGAGATCTTGAGAGCGAAGCCTACCGAGGCATGAAGGAAGAAGAAGTGACCCGCCAACTTCCAAGGGGGGCCAGCCTGAGGAAATGAGAAAAGCAACAACCACCACAACGGGTGAGAAGGCAAGCACAGCTCCACCATGGGTAGCAATGAGGTGCCAGCGGCTGTCCGCGGCATCTTGATTAAACATGTTTGGTTTAATGTTTCGCTAGCAATTCATTTCCTCTACCATTTTTGCGTCTTCTAG